ACGCACGCACACACATTATTGCACACGACAACACAGCACAGTAACTTTTATTAGTAAAATAGCTTCGACCGGCTACTGACTCGCAACGTTATATTTCTCTGCAATGAAGGGGGTAAAATCGCTGTTGAAAGAACTAAGCCTTCATTGCTTGTAGAGAGAGACGCGCAGACGCAGGTTCACACACGCAACTTTCATCCCTCTCTCTCCCTCTCCCTCTCCCTCCCTCGCGCGCGCGCTAATTCAAATAAATGTTATAATTAATTTAAATAAATGCGATCTTACCGCACTGCATCTCTGTGTCTGATTTAAAGCAGGCCGAATGCTAACGAGCCTTAACTGACGAAAATGACCATAATTTGCACGATGGAAGAATTATCGTCTTGTCGTATACAACCATTCAAAAACTCGGCAGAATTTATGCGACTGCTGCACCTGATGTTCATAAACTTAACTTTCATAACTGGTAAGTGTTTTTTCTTTTGCCTCGTGAACTGGCCGAGCCTTAATGATTCTGTTTCTTTAATAATAGTAATGACTTATGACGCGCAGAATGAGAGGTTCTTCCTTTTGAATAAAGTGTTGTATAAATGCGTGTCCTGTCATTATAAAACTCTCCTTTCACTCGGCAACTGTGAAGTGGAGCAGGACAACCTCCCACCAGTCCTTGTTTTGGAATCTCCTCCACAGGAACCCGTTTTGGGCGCGGGGAGGGGCATGTTTACTGTGTGATAAATATGAGCAGCACGGCACAGCAGTTTATATGTAGGCTATATTTATCCATAAATTATTAAATATTAATTCTGCTGTTAAAAACAAATAAATAAACCGTGTAGGAGAGTGGTTATTATGTGCAAACAGTGAGAAACTCTATATTTGTGCAGTGTGCGCATGTCAAAAAAAAATCAATTCCGATTTGAAGCTTGTGACATATAAACACGCACATCAACCCGATCACTTTCTTTAGCGTTCATGTAAACACTACATTCAGATTCATCAATCGGAATGAATTCCAAAAATTGTGCATGTAAACGTAGCCAGTGTTGATAGCATCACTGATTATCGCGCTTATTCTATTGTATTTTGTGGCGTCGCGCCGCTCAGCTCGCGTCCGGTGTGGACACGATGTAAGTTAATGTCGCTTTCTGATGCTGCGTTTGAATTTTCATTCCACATTATTTGACATTAGCGCGGGCCAAACATTTTTCTCTCACGGGCCGCCTATTGAGAAATCCTGCTTTACATTGTCGCAATGACCGTCTTTTTGCAGTAAAGGACCTGTCATAGTTTAATGCATGGGAAGAAGACATGAAGCGATGTGAGGTTAGCTGCATTGAAAACAGATGAGCGCTCATGTGCATATAAAGCGCCAGATCGGGGTGAAGTTCACAGGATTTTGACCACAGAATGATAAGAGCACATTTTTTAACATATTATTTGATTATTTAACAACACTCAGTATTTAAATTAAGCACTGCAAGCCATGCATACAGCACCGGACATGACAGATTTTCTGGTACGCAAAATAAGTACTTTAAAGGAATTCCTTAGCTTATTACCATTACTGTGACAGCCAATAACAGCACAGCTTAACTAACCCCTACGCACATTTTTATATTTTGTTATATTGAAAAAGTTTCAATTCAGTCGATCTTTTTTACCCCGTTTTAACATGGATTTCTATGGAGACCGGCTGTAGATGTCAGGCGAGATGGCGGATAGCAGCGGCGGCACATAATATCTGCGTTCTGATTGATCAGATCGCCTGCCAATCAAGCTCTTTGCGAACGGTCAATTATGACAGAATTTTCCTTTTTGGGTGAACCATACTTAAGTGACAGACACATCTGCACTTCTAAAGGTATAGGCCTATTTTTTATTAAAATTTGGATCGTCTGTTAAAAGGGGTCATATGATGCTGCTAAAAATATTTTTTTTGTGTGTATTTGGTGTAATGAAATGTGTTTATGCGGTTTAAGGTAAAAAAACACATTATTTTCCACATACTGTACATTATTGTTTCTCCTCTATGCCCCGCCTTTCTGAAACCTGTCGATTTTTACAAAGCTCATCGGTCTGAAAAGCGAGGTGTGCTCTGATTGGCTAGCTATCCAGTGCGTTGTGATTGGCCGAATACCTCAAGCGTGTGACAGAAATGTTACGCCCCTTACCATATTGTGATGCCCTGTCCGGCCGGAGCGACGAGAC